TGTTTTTCGATGAAGTTACAATGGATCAACTTTTTCTAAAATCTCTTTTAACTAGCAAATGCACATTCATAAAATTAGGTAAACAGATTCAAAAGCAAATTTTGGATCTCAAAAGCTCATTTTGACTCTTCAAAAGTCATGTCAAATGGACTTTTTTTCTTTTGATAAAAGTTAATGAAATATGTAATTAAAATGTTAAAAGATCTATGAAAGTTACGATTAAAATTAATTATTGATTTTAACTAGAATTTTAATCAACTTTGTAATTGGAACACACATGGGTTATGTAAATGAATACATAATTGTTTGGGCCCCATTTTTTTTTTTTGTATAAAAATTATAATAATGATTTTTTGAAAAATGTGTGATTAAAACGTTAAAAAATATATTTTATTTAAAGAATGTATAATTGAAAATAAATTTGAGAAAAATGATTTTTTTTTTGCAAAGAATTAAGCTTAAGCCTTTATTATCATGTATCCTAACCAAATTTCATTTAAAAAGTTAAAACCATGTGGAATTATCAGAATCATGATATGATATGAAAAATTACTACATTGGCTCAAGTTCTAAATAGGGCTATACAAAACTCACGAATCGAACCGTATCGAACTGAACTGAATCGAGCGGTTCTTCTTAAATTAAATACCTGAACGGGTATCTGAATCTAGAACTGATGGGTTTAGTTCGGTTCTCGATTCTAAATGAAGAACCGAATAAGAATCGAATCTCCCTAATTTTTGTAATTTTTTATCTTAAATAAATCAAATTTTTTTATTTTACTAATAATTAATTTAGTCCAAATCCAAAATATGATTTTACTATTTCTAATTTTCACCCAAGCCCAATTTAATCAAATTGACCTAAATTTTACCCAAATCTCTTATTCTATCATAGTGTCGTTTCTGCCGTTCTATTATTGTGAACTCGACAGCTTCCTCTTCCCATGATTTTAACAGTCAAATTTATGGAGATCTCAACAAAGAGAGGTGAAAAAATATATCACGAGATAGGACTACATTATTTTGTAAGAGTTAAGATTAAACATATCACAATCGAATTAATGTAGCGTTATTCTAATATAAAAAAAATTAATTATTGTACGGAATTCGAAAATCGAATAGAACCGAACCTGAACGGTTCCATAATTAAATTTGGACCCGACGTTTCCATTTACTAAATACCCGAAAATTCAAGTTTGGTTCAATTCTTTCTAAAGATAACCGAACTCAGTCGGATCATGCCCAACCCTAGTTCTAAGTAAAATGCAAAACTTAATGGAAACACTTAGTTCACTCAATCATCACAATATTCAGATCCCAGCTCATCGCAACCCATTTGTCGACTAGGACGATGAAGAAAAAATGCCAATGGAGGAGGAGATATCAATGGCGAATGCATTCATCAAGTTATAACCTTCAAGGATGAATAATGGACGGATGACAAGGAAGGCATTAACATATCAACGATTTAACATGTGACAAAGAATCTAAGTATTTGGTTCTCTCCAAATTTAGGAGGCAAATAGAAACTATATGTTCGGTGGACTTCTCTTATTTTCAAATTTGCTCGCTACAAGTCCTAGCATTAGTATGAGTTCGTTGACCACGTGAGGGAAATCCTTCTCAACGTCGAATTCCACGGTAACAAGAAATAAAAATTAATCGTTCGATGTCTACTCGTTCTACCCTCTTCAATTCCCAATGGTATGTTGAGGAAAGTTGGCAACACATGATTAGTTGCGAAGATCGGTGGATTCAGGTAGATCACTAACCAGCACTAAAATATAAGATTTTTATTTTTTTAAAGGCTATTTTTATTTTTAATGTTATTATATTTTGTATTTAAACTGTGTTTTCATTGAGTCGCAATCTTGACTATGCCAATGCGGATGGTGGTGGTGGTGATGAAGATGAAGGATTGTGGTAGTAGTAGCCATTAAATATTTTTCCTTCTTTTTTTATTGATTGTTTGATAGATCTCTGTTTGGCCCCGTTAAATGAAAATTTATTTTTCTCTTCCTTCTTATAGGCACATTTTTCAATAAAATAATATTACACGTAAATTTAAAAAATTTCATTCTTTTTTAACAACACGTTCTCAAAAAAATTACCATTTTCCTTATTAAAATGTGAAATAATGGAGATTTCAACATTTAAACACATTATACAAATTTAGCCCTTGTTTGGTGGAAATTAAAATTTTAATTTAAATCAAAGTCAACAATTAATTTTAACCACAAATTCTATGGGGTCCACAACTTTACAACGGCACATTTCATCAATTTTTATAAAAGATTTACTAAAAATCTAATTTTAATTCCCACCGAACAAGGGTTAGAACTCTCTGATGATGTGTTCGATTGACAATATTTTTCATGGAAAATGTGTTTTTTCCACATAATTTCCTACTTTTGCTATGTTTGATTGACAATTTATTTCAAGAAAAATAATTTCTACTTTTGATTACGTGATCATATTTTCCTTAAAAATCAGGAAAGTATTTTCTTCAGGGGAGGTTGAATTTTATTTCCCAAGGAATTAAAACTTTCCAAAAATTATAGTTTATCAAAACTTCTATCAACTCACGTTAACATCTCTCTCTCATCTATATCCACGTAAATCATTACCATCTCTTTCATCTACTCAATCGAACCACGAAGAAGAAACTGAAGACCCATCACTGCTTTCAGGGGC